AAATTATTTAGTATCATCGGTAATGCATAAGAAAGAAAGAAGTCAAATTTCTTTGTGTTCTTATTATTTTTAATGTGTAATTAAGTCTTAATGATAAATTCATATTTTTGGTGTAGTTTCTTTGAGTATCAACAACATAATGCCGTTTTTTTATTCACGTATCATTCCTTTTGTTTTAAGTATTCTACCATTTTCTTTCTTTATCACATACTACCTGCATTTTTATCTTCAATATTTTCATTTTCTCAATTTTTCTTCTTCAAAATTTAAAGATTCTTAAATATTTGAGAATACCTAATAACTTTAATTTTCTTACACATACTTTCTACAACAATATTTTTATATATTTAATAATGATTCTTAAATTTCTTTTTAGTTTTTAATGGATAAATCAAGCAAGATAGAAGAATGTGCAAGAGACAATGGGAAGAACACATGGGCATAATCTTTCAAAATGTAACAGATATAAATCATTCACTTATAATTATTTCTATAGGTTTGATTAGTTATTAAAAGTTATTCATTTTAATTATATTACTTTGTAGTTTTTTGTATTTTTGAACCAACTCTATGTAAAATTATTATTAAAGTTGTTAATTATTATATAAATTCTATTTATTATATCACAACTCTAATAAATTTATTAATATCTGTGAACACTTCACCGAAGTAGTTACGTAATACTGAAAAATGTCTTATGTATTTGGTTTTGCAATGTTGATTGATTATCTCTCTTCTTTTCTCTCTTAAATTCTTCATTTAAAACTAAAGAAAAAACTCATCTCTCATTTTTATTTTTATTTTTTTTAATATTTATGTTATATTTTTAAAGAAAATTGAAGAAACTATTAATTTCAAAAGAGGCAGAATGCTACATATATGCGGCAAAATTTGAAGGGATTTCAAATGATCTTTTTTACACAAATATATATTTTCCATGCAACTATTGAAATGAGTGGACAGAAGATACTTCTATGGAATTGTACATATATTCTAATTTATTCACATTTCTTAAATTTTGTTTATTATATATTTTTCTCTTTATACGTTGTCTATTTTACTTAGTTTTTGAAGAATAATTTATATGTTTTTTTTGTCTAACAAGAAAATGAAACTTTTAATCTCTCAAAATTTTGTTTATTTCACTTTATGTGAGATTAATTTATTTGTGGGTTTTATTTGTATTTATCTCCCTAACTTTTATTTATGATTTGTTTTTATTCTTATAAAAAAAAATTTTTATTATAATATTTATTATGGTTTCTCTAAACTCTACTTAATATATTCTATAACTATTATTTATTCTATAACTATTATCTATTCTATAACTATAGATAAAGATAAAGAAGATAGATGATTTTGAACAGACCTATTTCATTCCCATTTTATCCTTTAAGTTGTACGCAATTTATTTAATTTTTAAAAATAAAGTGCTAACAAAATGATACGGTTTTTTTATAAGATGAGCATAACTATCAAAGTTGGTTTTTTTAATGGAAAAAACCAATTTTGATAGTTATGCATCTCTTACAAAAATGATGGAAGTGCAAAACACACTTATAAATGAATAGAAAATGGAAATTCATTCATTCAGTGGCAACATAAAAAAAAATACATCATCATACTCCACTATTTATGGTTTGTGAAAGATAAATAAAGAAAAAAAATTCTTCATCTTCATCTCTTATTTGATCACCAGTCTCTAATTCCTTCTCTAATTCTTTATCATACTTCATTGTTAATTGATATGAAGTTTCTTTTCCTTTACAATGTTATGATTATTTCTTTAAGAGATAATTTGCCTTTATTTTAGAATCTATTTTGTCGATTTTGCATTTGGGTGTTGCAACTAAATATCAAATTATATTGATTTGGTTAGAGAATATTATTAAAAACAATGAAACATTATTTTTAAGTGTCTTTCTTTTTAAACCCATTGGTCTTAAAGATAAGAAATATATGAATTGTTTATTTATGAATTGGTTCATCTGTATTTAATACAATACTAATAATATAATAGAAAACGAACAATAAATATTAAAGATTACACACACCTCCAAGATAATGCAGGGAAATGAGAATCAAATGTTAAAATATTTCTTAAAGTATTACTTCAATAAATGAAAGAGTTTTGTTGCAACAATCTTTGGAAGCATTTCATTGACCATATACTTAATAAAAAATTAAATTAATAAACATATATATATATATATATATATATATATATATATATATATATATATATATATATATATATATATATATATATATATATATATATATATATATATATATATATATATATATATACGATAAATAATTTAAATTAAAACCAAAATTAAATAAAATATATATTAATGAATTACTTCATTTGTTTTGCAGTGAAACGAGAGATATTTCTGATTTTGATTCCATGGTTGACCTTCTTATTAAGCAATAATGTAACTTAATATCCGTATTAATGTTTATGTTTAGTTGCTTAATAAATTGTGAGAAAGATTTTTGTTCTTCTATCTAAATTTTCTTATGGTTTTGACTAATCTATAGCAATATATAAATACAAAACTTAATGTTTCATCAAATAAATAATTTATATTAAAATTAATATAAATAATTTATAGTAAAATTAAATTTATAAAAAAATACACTGTTAATATTTTTGCGCGTTAACGCAATAAAAAAAGCGGATAAACGGGCACGGACGTGCCCGTTTGGACGCTAGTAATAATAATAATAATATAACACACTATAAATAATAAAAGTACATTCAAAGAATATAAAGAATAACTTAAACATACGTTAAAGATCTTATATTAAAAATATCCTAATCAAATAAAAAGTGTTAGTGAAAAATATTAATAATTGATCGGTATAAATAAATTATTCAGCTATCACATGTACGTTGATCATATTATGCCAAAGAATGCCAAAGATAGAAAAACAAGTGAATAAAAATATGAAAGAATCAATCATGATGATCGAACAAATATTGAAAGATTTTAAGAAAGTCTTAAGAATTAGAGGGGATAGTTAAGTTAATATTCTCTTAATCCTTATTAAATAATTAATATATATGATTTATCATAAATGATATTCAGACACACCAAAAATCATGTCTAAAAGGTGTGTCTTTGTTATTTTAAAGTGTATTGTAAATATATGAGATCACAAAGTAGGAGAGAGATAAAGACATTAATATAATATATGATTTCAAATACGGTCAAATTTTAGTGTTTCAAATAACATGACTCTATTACAAGTCTCTTAAAATTCACTCCATAGAAAAGTCTATCAAAACTTATACAGTATATTATAAATATCAAGAAAATTTTCATTTTTTATCTGTATTTTATTTATTCATAACATAAAAGTTAATAATTACTCAAACAGTAACATTACACATAAATTAATAGTACAATTTAAAATTTTAAAACAAAAAAAATATTAATATTAAATAATCATAGCAAACGTACTATTCAATATATATTTTTGAAGTGCAAGTTTTTTCTGCATCCACCCTCAATTAAAGGTGGGTTTGATCTGATTTAATTAATTGGGATCGAATTTTATTTAATTAATTGGGATCGAATTTTATTGTCATGCCTAACACTAAGACTAGGTGCCAAATTACTTGAAACAACAAAATTATACAAGCAACAGAAATTAAATTATGTATCTAACTAATATCAATAGTTGTGTGTTGAATAAAAAATATCAGAATAAATTTTAAATTTTTTTACGATTTGTTTGATTTGAAAATATTTTAGTTTTCTCAATTACAAAAAAAATATCATTACATATGTATAAAGTAAAAAATAAATGAAAAAATTATTCGAAAACTTGAGATACAAAAACAAATTTTAGGTTAAAATAAAATGCTTTTCCATCTCCTAAGTTTGATATAATCCAATTCAAATCACTCTTCAATACGAAATGTATATATCTCTTAAAATTTCCAAACTTTGATTTGTCATGTTCTGAAAACTGAATCTCTTGTCTGCTCAAACCAAACCTCGGTATGCAAAAATAGTTTATTTTCTCATAAAAGATTGATTGAAAAATTTATACTACTACAATTTTTGTTTTTGTTTAAAACTTTTTTAATAATAAATGTGTCAAGTTAACTGTCAAATTTAAAACCCCAACCTTTTTTTTTTCCATATCCTTGAAATTATGAGCTCCACTACATGACCTACACATGAGCACTCTATTTTATAAATGTGTAGCATTTCTTTTTCAGACTAGCTTAACAAAGCTTTACACATTTGTTCTACCAAAAAAGCACCAACATAATTCAATGTTAGTGCTGAAGTCATTCAGAATCAAAATGAGCAACGCTATCACTGACTAAAGCATTTTCTCACTATTTATATAGTACTGTAATAAATAACATTTTCAATCTTAACAGTGGCAATTACTAGCACCAAATGAACTGTAACATCAAGTCCCAAAACCTGCACTCTGCAGATGACTATAACTACCACTCATAACTTGAAGATTGATCTCAGAAGCACAATATCGCCATGGAAAATCTTGTTACTTTATGACATCTACTAGATAAGTTAGAAAAAATGGCAGGAACAAAGTAATAAAACAAGAGAAGACTAAGAGTCCAGTTTAGGTTGCACAAAAGCTATTAACAATTAACAAGAGGAAGCAGCACAGTGATTTTATATTACATATTACATATCACATATTCCCGGAAAAATGGCTGCTCCTTACTCTACATTTAACTAACTCGAAAAACCTGAAGTTACAGAAACAAGAAATTCCTGAATGATGATGACGGGAAACTAGACGACTGTTATTACAAAATTGATCAGGTCGGTAGGAGACTAGACTATCCTAAACATAATAAATTTTCCCAGCAGTTAAAGCTACTAAAAATTGACCACTCAAGTCTCCCAGAAGCTATGGACTCTTCTCTTCAGTTATACACCCACAGCTCTCTTCAAACATCTACAAGTTCCATATCTGCGCAATCTATCTAGTCTCGAGTTTTAGCATTCTGGAACATCTACAAGTTACATAAACACATGACAAAAAATATTGAGCTATATTTTGGTAATCTGGCATAAAGGCTGGTGCTTCATCAATTATTGGTTTACCCTTTAGTGCTTAATCAGCATCACAAATATTATCTGTTGTAAACTTGTAACTATCTAAAACTTAAAACAGTAAAAAAAAAAAAATCTGATAATCAAGTTATATATGAGAACTGCAAACTTCGATCCTATTTTGCTGCTTGTCATGAGTAGAGATCTCCTAATTCCTATTACAAGTGGAAAATTTGACTACTGTGGTATTGGGCGAATAATAACCTAATTATGTCACCAAGTATGGAAATGAGTTATCTTGAAATTTAGTCGGACCTAATTATGTTACCAATTATGCAAACTACGATCCTACTTTGCTGCTTGTCATATGTGTAGAGATCTTCTAATTTCCTATTACAAATGAAGAATTTGACTACTATGGTGGCATTGGGTGTATAATAACCTGATTGTCACCAATTATGGAAATGAGTTGTCTTAAAATTTTAGTGACCTAACTCAACTCTTAAAAAATCGGCTTGTAAAGTGAAGACTGCTCACCACTTCTAAACACGTGTTCAGGTCATATCTCTTCCAATATGGGACTTTTCAACAATATTTACACACCATGAACCATAGTCATCATTTCCTTTGAGAAATGGAGAGGATCTCGATTCTCGACCCTAGTTAGATGGTTTACAATTCTGACATTACCCCTAAATATGAATACAGCCAGCAGGATAGATGATTTAATTATCATCTATGAAAATTCTCTGATCAATACACTTTGAGAGGTTTATTGTCACTTTCCTGTTGAAATAAAGATTGTGACTGACCTTTATCATTCAGATCAATAGGAAGGGTAACTTTTGGCTGGTTGTCAGCTGAGCCACTGGAAACTAGAGGCAGTCTAGTCTGTGGTGGAGAGTCAGTGCTACTACGGCTTGAGTTCCCATTTGAGGCGTGGACCTTCACTGGAAGATTCAAATACATCTCAAAGTTAGATGAAGTTATGCCAGTCAGTTTCTTTCCCTTCGGTCTTCCCCTAAAAAGGCAGAGTAATGAAATAATTCAGCGGGTTTTCATTAAATCTAAAAAAGTGGTAACACGGGGGATGAAATTGATGTCAAAAAACAGATGACAGTTTAGTACTGCAGATACCTGTCCTTTCGCTTTTCAAGATATCGCTGCAGAGACACTTTTCTGCTTGCCTGACCCTCTACATCTTTTATAAAACAAATAAATGTAACTGATACTTAGGTTCTCATAATTTGAGGTATGGAAGCTTGATATAAAGCCTTACGTTTAAAAAGAAATTACTCTCTGTAGATCTTAGAAATTCTTGTACCTTAAGTTCAATATTATTCTACCATGTGAGTGCATGGACATGTGTGATGTGCCATTATAAGTTACATATCACATATTCTATATTCTACCAATTTAATACATTATACACTACTTCTATAGTTCATCATAGGAAAACCAATAAGATTTCTTCGTATTTCATTGCTTTTCGAATTACAAAAAACAAGTTCTTTTAGCCGGGAAATATATGGATCGGGTGCACATGCTGCCCAAATACATAAATGGCTATCACGCATATCTTGAACATGCATGAAATCTTTTGAATAAAAAGCCCAAGTGTAACAGCTGAATGGTATCAGCACCGGTGCTAGCACATGATCAATTTATAATTACATTTACATATATTGTAACAGAGGTGAAAATCTACAAATACTCATTTTTTGGTAAGACACTAATAGTGGCGATATACTGGAAGACATGCATGATTGTTAAAAAAGGCAAGAGGCTCATGCTTTCCAAAGTGGGTCTGACATCCAAAACTAAAGTAGAAAAAATAGCAGTAACTTTATAACCCAAGGAAAATAGTAACAATATAAGCAAAAGTTTTTCCTGTTAGATAGGATAGGCTACACGGATCAAATGATGTATTGTACTGTGTTCTATTGTTGACAAATCTTTAGTCAAGTATGTGACTTTTGCATTTCTTAATTCTTAAAATCATTATAGCATGACTTGGGATGCCAAGGAAGAAACAAATAAAAGGCCTCCAAAAACAAGCCAAATCAAGAGAAAGGACATGGGCAAGACATTAAAAGAAGTTCAATAAAGGAAGCTCCAAATTCATTTGGTAGTCCATCAATAATTTTCTATTAGAAATTTTCTGTAAATCTGCGAAAAGAGAGCAGAAGTTCTAGCAGACTGCAATAATTTAAACACTTAATTGTCCCTACCAGTATCTCGAGGTGTGCTCCCTTTCTCCCTGTATTGCAGAGGATATTCCACCATCTTATCTGTAAAACCAAATTCGTAACACCAATTATTAAGTTAAACATCTTAAGTTCCTAACTGACAAGTGTTATCGTGATTTTAGCCAACAGCTTTGATTCAAAGATCTCAAATCCTAACTTATAAATGTTACCGTGACTTTAAACAAGTCAAGGATGTTAAGTTTGTTCATCTTCTAGAAAGAAGAACTAAAAAGCTTTAATAAAAAACTCTAAGTTCCTAACTTATAAATTATAAATGTTCTTGTGATTTTAAAGAGTCTAAGATGTTGAGCTTGTTCATCTTCTAAACACGAGAATTCAATTGATTTAATTCAAAAATCAGTATTCACAGTAAATTTGTTCTTAGCAATCATAACAATGTGGGAGCTTGTCATCTTCTAGGCACGAGAATTCAATAGATTTAATTCAAAAATCAGTATTCATAGTGAATTTGTTCTTAAAAATCATAACAATAGCCTGCCCACATTAGAGTACTGGCACTTCAAAGCAAAATTAAGCATTTTTTTTCTACCCGGTTGCTACCTACCTGTTTGAGAAGAAACTTGAAGGATTGCTGTGTTAGTGGGGAAGAGGACATCCTTATCAATCGGAATGTTGCAAGAAGAAGCCCAAATTGCTGCATTCTTATTTAAAGGATTGTCTTGAGTAAACAGGGACGGACTTGCAGCAAGTTGCATGATTGAATGTGCCTGCAAATACAGACAAAAATACAGTTACATTAGAAGGTGAAACTTTATTGATGTACGGCAAGATATTCATGCAAGAGGACACATCTTTACTTACCTTATCCGGTGAGACTCCATCATAGACATTCACCTTACCACAGTAGAAAATTGTCATTTGCCCAAATGACCCACTTGGCGCGCACCCTCTGTACCCACATCAAATTTTCAAGCAATGTTAAGAACATGGATGGTAGTGTATATAAAACATACACTAGCTTTATGTTTTACACAAATTTATTGAATTTAAATTATTTGGCGTTTTCAGTAACTGAATCACTCTCTTCCTATAACAAATGTAGAACAGCTAATTACATCACTCACACACAATTTTTTTTCAGGATGTCATGATTACTACCTATTGGAACTGAAAGAAACATTTCCTTGAGATTCCACATTAACAAAACATATTGTTTGCTACCACATTCATTGTTGAAGTCATGGGCCTATTGGTTATCCACCATTCAAATAAACTTTCAAACAAGTATGAATACTAAGAAACAAGCCACGATATAAAAAAAAAACACAAAGTCATGATAGAATTGTTCCTCTAACTTATTCTTCCTCCTTGAATATTCAAAATGACTATGCTAAACCTAAAATAATCATTTTTTTGTCAAGAGGGTTTCCCTAATTTCAATTGATACCTTCAATATATTTCATCTCCATAAAGCATGCCTCCACATCAAACATGATATCTAATCTAAGATAATATCTAAATGGAATAGTGTAAATTAAGCAGAATGAGATTGTTGGCACTTTGACGGCACACTAAAACCTAGCCACGACATTGTATGTACAAGTTCATCCATGAAAAGAAAACCAAAAACAACAAATAAACATGAGATAGTAAAAGAAAAAAGCAAAAGCTAACAAATGCAGAATAACAATGATATTGAAGTTATAGATATCTATCCCATCTAAACAATATATATCTGAGAAATATAGCACTACTAACAACTTCACTTCCCCATTCAGTAAACACATTCATCAGATACCGAAAAATCCATTGTCTGTATCATCATATCCCACTTCACCTAAAGCTACAAACAATGTGCCAATCTTCCAAACTAATGCCTAAACAAAGTTACTTATATAAACAAGTAATCAAATAAATAAGAAAATTTAACTTTAATGTTTCAACCATCCAAATCACACTCACTGAACTTCAAACATCCAAATCATACTACTTTTCCCCCAAAAAGTAACAAAAGCCAGAACCCAAAACCCAAAAAAAGTTGCCAACAAAAAAAAAAGAGAACAAAAATGAAGAACAGACCCGGCACGGACATCATTTGTTTCGGTAGGTTTTTCTGCAGCAGGTGAAATAGATTTCTGAACATCTTCCACAGCCCGAACACCGCTCTCATCGCGATCCGGGCTCTTCACCAGAGCTTCACTCAAATTTCCCTACATTCATAATTAACAATAATTAAACTTCGCAACCAAACAAACAAGAGAGTGTGTGAGAGAGAGACATACTTGAGGAGGCTGAGGGTGGTGGTGGTGGTGATGATGGTGGTGTATGGCGGAGGTAACAGGTGCAGGAGAATCATCGTCGGTAGGTTCAAGAAGCGCTTTGAGAGAAATAACTTGCTGGATCGCCTGAGATTTGTTCCAGGAAGGCCTGCGCATCCCTGTACGAACACGTGTCTTCTTCTTCACTCATTTTTTTCTTTTTTTTAATTATTTCCAAATCAATAAAAAAATCCGCATCCCGATTAATTAATTAATATTACATATAGAAAAAGAGAAGCATTGAGTTGAAAAAAAATGGAAGTTCTCAGATACCGGAAATCATGGAGCAGCAGAGGATAAAATCCCAAAATAATAATTTATAAATAATTTTTTTATTAAAAAATAGAAAGAGAAAGAAAAATAGAAAGAGAAAGGAAAATTGAAAGAGAAAGAAGAAGAAGAAGAAAGGACCTTTATCTTTGAGGAATCTGCGACAGTCTTCGCGAGTGAGTTGAGAAATGTCATCTTCGGTGAGCTGGTTGAGAGGTTTATCGAGGATGGATCGGATGACGGTGGCTCCGGCGTTCATCGGTTCCGATTCCGACAAGAGCGAGTGAGTGGGACCATGTACGAGTTGAGAATTTATGAGAGAAGAGAGTGGTGTGAGGAAGTGTTGTAGTGAGTGATGAGTGAGTGAGGGAGGGGTTGAGAAGTGAAGGGGGGTGTGAATGTTGTTTGTGAGTGGTACTGTTCGCAGTAGGGTCTTTGGGGGGAAAAGAAAATGGGAAGGGTAGGGGTGGTTTTTTAGGACTTGTGATGAACCCTAAGCTGCCACGTATGATTTTCGCTTTGTTATTAGGGCTTAATCTCTTTTTTTAATTATTATTGTTGCTACATGGGAGTTTGTATCACTTTGTCTAATTATTTGATTTGAAGAGAGTGCTACTATTAGGGTTATTGCTTTGTAGTAAAATGGATCCGGAATGGATTGTATATTTAAAATCATAATTAATCAATCTAGTCATTAATTGTTCATTTAATGTTTTTATGAGTGATAAGTATTTCTTTAAAGAAGATTTAATGATGATACTAAGAGTAAAATCTATGTCATGACTGCATTGTGGAAGGTCATTGATACAACTAATTGTTTTATTTTCAACGTGATTAAATCAAATAATTTAGTAAGAGAAGTCAATGAAAGATATGATTTTTTTAAAAGAAGTTGAATATAAAAAAATAAGAAAATTTTTATTGAAAAATACCATATAAAAATTTAAAAATGTTGTTTGAATTTTACAAATACATTTGCGAAGAAACTTAAAATCACACAAATAAAGACGTTGTAAGGAAAATACGTCTATTCTATTTTTAAAAGATATTTAAAGATACATTTTCGAAGATGTATCTCTGTAAGATATTATAGTGTTTCATTAGTATTATTTCTACTTTCTTCTCACTATGATCGATAATTATCCATATACAGATAAAAATTCTGAAAATATATTTTCAAATTATTTTTTTATAAAGCAAATGTGTAATTTACTTACACATGCATTTGATATATTTTGTAGTATATTTGAATGTACATCTCTAAAATCTCAAGTATTTTTTAAGTAGTGCATAAATAATATATAAAATACATTAAGAAATTTTGAATTTGTTTGATTGCAGCGAGACTGTCTCTATAATGATGCAAGTATTTTGCATGTCTTTATATGGTTATACGAAGGTCAAAAATATTATTTTTTAAAGATTATGTTAATTTGTGTTTTAAAATTAACATATAATTTTTAAAAAATATATTTTTATAATTAATTATTAATTTGTGTCTTAAAAGTATAAGTTAGCATTACCTATTTTTAAATTTTTTTTAAAAGATAAATTTTTTAAAAATTTTAGATGTATTTACAAAAAATTAATCTCGCAAATAGAAGAAAATCACTATAAACAATACAATTTTCTTTCAAACTTGTGATCGGTGTAAACTAAAAGATTATTTATCATCTCATTAAAGTATGAAACGTGTGTGTTTGCATATAATTTCTTTCTCAAAGGTTACAATCATTTCATATTTCAAAATGTTTTAATATTTTAATTTTTCATGCTATTATCATATTTAAAATATTTCAATCAAAATTAAAATAAGAGTTTAACTAAATACGTACATGTGTGTTTGCATATAATTTCTTTCACAAAGGTTACAATCATTTCATATTTCAAAATATTTAAATATTCTAATTTTTCATGCTATATCATATTTAAAACATTTCAATCAAACACTAAATATTATGATTCTTATATTAACTCGATCTTAATAATAAAAAATTATGTGTTCAATCTTCATTCTAAAATTTTGTTAAAGTCACGATAGACCATAGTTAAACATTGTCTATTGTCCTACCAACCACTTTTCAATGTCGATCAAGATTGTTAATCATCTTGTTTACTATATCATTTATTTCTACAATCTTCAATCAAGGGTGTCTGTCCTCCCTCGTGCATGATAAATATATTAACACACCATAAAGAGCCTCTAACCTTATTGACCAAATCATTCACACAATAATAGCAACTAATTTTTATTCACTCCCTTTCGCATTTAAAACTTTATTTTATGTAAGATAGATATTGAATTAGATATCTAAACCGTTGTGTTCAACATCTTATATCAGATTTCACATATAATATAAATTAAAATGATAAATCATAAAATAAATAAAAAATATAAAATAATTGTTAATTCAGTTCGGTGTAATATCACCTACATCTAAGAGGTTTCCAACACAAAAAAGCAAATCCACTCTCAATAAAATTAGTACAAAATGTCTTAGATGAACAACTCTTGTTCAATGTCTTTCTTCTTAAATTTACTTGTGTATTTCTATTTCGGGCTCTCCTTAAATATGAGACCATCGCACTTTCTCTCATTCACTAACCCTAGTGATTAATACAATAATAGAATATTGATTGTTTGAATTACAACTCAATTATCAAATTAATCTTTATGCCTTTAGATATGAATACAGACGCTAGAGTGGTGCACAAACAACAACACAAACAAATGACTTAAAATATAAACCCTAACATAAAGATCTTCAACTCTTGCGCACACCTCAAATGTTAGGTTTGAGTCTCCTTAAATGAAAATGCAACTTTTTGGACTTTCTCCAATGGACATAAGATTTAATCACATCCAGATTTGTAGAGGATTTTGTTTTGATTTGTTTTTTAAAGACCTCTAACAAAAAGATTTGATTTGTTTTGATTCAAATTTATATCTCTAAATAATTAGATTTGATCATATTCAATCTTCCAAACAAATCTAATTAACACATTGCTAAAAGATAATAATAAATTTAATTGAAACACAACCATAATTTTTGCTCAGAACAAAAACAACCATGGCTTGCTGACAAAGGTCAGTTGTTGCATACATGTTGGAACATCGTGTCCCACATGTGTCATTTTCTTCACCAAAACATCTTGTACACTCCATTTAGTTTTTGCAAAACGCATTCAATCAAAAGGAACAACAATCTTCCCGTTTGGGAAATTTTAGAAAAATAAACTCTTGCAAAACTTACAAGATGTGCATGGGTAAATCTTCAAAAATACATACACAAGTAGCATACCACATCTGAAAAAACAATAACAGAACTAGTAGTGCACAAGATAAAGGAAAAGTGGTTGTTACACATCAAACATCAGAGTTCACACACACATGCTCACAGACATACATGCTCAAAGTTTAAGACCAGATGGCAGGTTAGATGCGCCAACATGTGAGCATACAACTAAATAATACTCCACAAACACATTAGAACATTCGTTGCAACGGAAGTAACACATAGTCAGGCACACAATTAGTCAGTATGCACACAAACAAAGTTAGTAGTTAGGTCACTCAGAACACACCACTAAAATAAGGCAGGTCACTTAAAATACACTTACTACCACTACTCCCCCTTTTTTCCATAATGTGGTAAAGGTTTGAAGAAAAAGAAACAGATCAGAACAGACCACACACGTGATCAATCATGACCATACATGTATGACATGAGAATTGAAAGCCACGTCTTAAAAATATGAGATCAGTGTCAATGTAGAAACCAATGACATTGTTAAAGAGCAATTACAACCCCAGTAACACATAAGTGAAAAACATGCCCATATACAAGGGCCAAAAACAAACTGAATAAAAAAACATATAAAAATTCAGTCCACAACAGCCAGCCAAAATACCTTAATCTTCCGAACTTTCCTCCTCTTCCTCACTAGTTGATTGTTATTCACTGTCACTAGCAGTTTCTTCTTATTCTTCATTGCCAGCTTCTTCTTCCTCAACTTGATTCTCTTTGGTCAACATTTTGATCAAAGCATCCACATTCCTTTTCTTGATGGAACTTGCAATAATCATTTCTCGAAGATCCTTTGAAACACACATTAGCTCAAACAACATATCATTTTGGATACTAGAGAAGAATTCCCACCAGCAGCTTGACCTTAGTGTTTTGTTACCATAATGTCTGGGACATGTGTCCCAACAAACAGTTTCTTATCAAGGGTCATTGGCCTTGCCTTTTTGTATGAAGCTTCTTAATGATACAAAATCTTAGGATATTTATCTAATATAATTCTAGTTAGCAAACAAGGGAAGGTTAAGGGTAGCTTCATACCAAAAGAGTATGTGTGCTTCATAGTTTGTTCAAACACATAGCCTCTTAAATTCAACATTGCCTTTGTTCCTATGTTATACTTGAACTATGATTTATGGGTGCCCAATGAGATTCACCAATCCTATTTAGAATAACATACTTCACACTCAATCTTCCACTAGAGAGTAACCCTTTGTTGGGTCATTGCTTCATTTGCACACTGTTTATTTCCTTAACAATCTTATAAATGGATGGAGCCTTATCAGACCCTACAGACTTGCTTTTGCCCAAATAATCATTAATAATTGAGGGTAAAAACTTCACACACATCCCTCTAACATACACCTTCCTATACTTCTGGCTTCCTTCAATTTTGAAATTAGGTGAGATGTTAACAATAAACTCCTTTACCAACTTTTCATAGCAATGCCCAATATCAGTTACAGTCTTCATTAACCCAACAACTTTTATCAAATCCATATTATCTTTACAATCAATAACATTTGTTCCTGGCTCTCTTTCATGAGCAATACTTCTTTAAAAATATATATATTTCTGCTTCTGAACACTTGTTTTAGAATGGAATGACACATTATCCAGGAAAGTAGCAATAACATTCACAGGGATCCTCTTTCCACAAACCTTTCTTCTTATGGTGGACATATGTCCTGGAGATCTTCTTCAGCATTTGTCTTAGAGTCACTTGATTGAACAAGCATTCTCTTTAGAGACTTCTTCTCATACATGCAAATGCCAAGAGTTCCCTTTAGCCTTTCAAACTCAATTTTCTTTTTATACTTGCTTTGAGAGAAAAAAAGTGTTCTCTTCTGTTTTTACTTGATACCCAACCATGTACGTCATCTATCCACCTAGACTTATTAGTTTGAAATAATTTTCCAACATCTTGTCTGATATTTCACTAAACACAAAGTCA